GGGCTGAGGAGCTGCTCCTTGCTCACCGTCACTGTCACCGGTGTGCCTACAGCCAAGCCGCTTTAGCATGGCCACCAACTTAGCCCCCAGGGCTTTCCTGCGCTCGGGGCGTGACGATCTCAGGGATGCTGCCAAACATTAATGCTGCAGATTGCAGGCTCGTGCTCCTTTTAGCTACGTTTACTCCTCAATTCGCCTGTTTCCTGCAGGCAGCCAACAAGGGCGTTTGCATTTTTACAGCTCCACTCTTCCCACTTGCACTCTGGCAGTACGGAGCACATCGTCCCTTAGAAAGGGGAGCCCCAGGTGACACCGAGTGACTTGAGCTGCCTGCTTAGCAAGGCTAAAGCCGCGTTAATTCTTTTCCCCTACCCTAAAATGACTCGTTCAATCATTCAGCTGCAGCAGCTCACCTTGCAGCGGGCTTATTCCTCCTGCGCGTTCCCAGGCGAAAGGAGCAAGGAGTGGGGTGGGGGCAGGTCGCCTGCCGTAACGTGTAGGCCCCCGGCTGTCCAGCACCCAGCTGGGTGCAGTGGTAGGGTCCCGGTGGCTGACCCCTCGCTTCACGGGGGTTGTGCTGCTCGTGACGTTCGGTCCGCGTGCCCGCTCTAAATGTGTGTTCCGCCTGCGATGCGCTGCCCGAGGGACCCTGAAGGCAGAGTCAAGCCTAACGCTTCTGAAAGGAGGCTGGGCAAGGGGAAAGGAGGTATTTTGCTGTCCCTTTGCTGTCCCCTACGTAATGCCCGTGTGCGTAATTCACAGATGGTGATGGAGAGCGGGGACTGGCTGGTTGGTGGAGACCTCCTTGTGCTGGAGAAGATCAAGTGGAACGATGGGCTGGACCAGTACCGCCTGACCCCGCTCGCGCTCAAGCAGCGGTTCAGAGAAATGAATGCAGTTTTTTTTTAGCGCCGGTGACGCGGCTCTTCCTGCCCTACCTGGCACCAGGAGATGTCCGTGGTCGCTGATCACTTGCTCTCAAGCCCGCAGCACTTGCCAGGTTGCTTCTGTATGCTCCCAAAACGGGACTGCTCAGGTGGGGCGGGCAGCAGGAGGAACGCGGGGCACGGCACAAGCAGTGGCGCAGGGTCAACTTGGCCAAGGATGTGCTTGTGGTGGGCTGTGTCCTCAGTGGGCCTCTCCAGGACTGGGAGGTGTTGGGTGTCCCGCTCCTGTCCTCCCTGGTGGGTCAGAGCCTTCTCTTTCTGCACCCCAGGCCAGGGTTTAAAGCCCTGCGCTGATGTGCTTGGCCTTCACCCGTGGGACACAGCTCAGGGGCCTTCCCTCTGGTGTCTGTCCCAGCAGGCTGGCAGTTGTCAGACACCCACCCTCGCTTTTGGGAGAGGGCGTTGGCCTCCACGAAGGTGGTGTTGAGCTTGGAGATGTGGCAGGTCACGTAAGAAGTCAGGGAACTCGGTGGAGGTGTCCAGTGGCGTCTAAAAACACTGTAGGAGAGCTGATAGGCCTGAAGTTGGCCCCAAAGGAAGGATGTGCAATGAAAATAAACTTGGCAGAGCAACGACGAGGCACTGTAGGTGTATGAAACGCTCACCTAAGGACACATGTCTTACGATGTACATATCTTAGGACTCTGTTGGAATGTGTAGTGCGTAAACGAAGCTGCGGGGTCTGCTGACCAGTGCAAGCCTGTGACCCTCCGAATCTTTCCCTTTTAGATGCTGTCTTTGCATTCCAACTGCGCAACCCCGTCCACAACGGGCATGCCCTGCTCATGCAGGACACGCGGCGCCAGCTTTTGGAGAGGGGTTACAAAAACCCCGTGCTCCTCCTGCACCCTCTGGGAGGATGGACCAAAGATGATGACGTCCCGCTGGAGTGGCGGATGAAGCAGCACGCGGCAGTGCTGGAGGAGCAAGTCCTGGACCCCAAGTCGACCATCGTTGCCATCTTCCCCTCTCCCATGCTCTACGCCGGCCCCACGGAGGTAACGTAGCCGTTGGCCACTCGCTGCGTGAGGCTTGTCCGTAGGGAGCGCCAGCTGCCAGCCTGCCCGGGCGGCTCTGGAAAGCCGCAGGGCAGGGAGTCGGTAGCCATTGCCTGGCTATTGGCTCCCGCGATGGTTTGCCCACCTGCAGCTTGCTGCAGCAGCCACCTCCCAGCGGAGCTCGGCTCTGCGGGCTCCCGCGCGTCCACAGGCTGAGTAGGGAGCTGGGGAGAGGGGCGCTGGAGACGGGCTCGACCGCCGTGGCCTCTTTCTCCGTTGGGCAGGGACGCTCATTTGTGTTTTCTCCCAGCGGTGTCCCTCTGTCCCTAAATCGGAGGGGTGAAGGCAGTAGACACTGAACCTCCCCCGGAGGCGGAAGGAGGGGGGGGGGCAGCCCCTGCCCGCACGGGGCGCGGGGGCTGGCAGGCATTGCCTTTGCACATTCAAAAAGCAAACTGCGATCTCTGTCTGCAGCCAGATTGGAGCAAGACCCGCCCCCATCCCCAGTGCTGCCTCTGAAATGCATGTCCTTAGGAGAGCTGTGGGGTTGCACCAGGTCCAGGCGGTGGAAGACGAGTCTGGGCGGCCTGGTCGCTGTGGGAGACCACAGCAAGGCTGCTGACGCATCTCCTTCCTTCCTTCCTGCACGTGGATCGCCAGGGTCTCCGAGGGCAGGCGGCCCGGCTGCTGCTCAGCCCTCAGCCCGTGCTCCTTGTCTCCCCGCTTTGCAGGTGCAGTGGCACTGCCGAGCTCGCATGGTTGCCGGGGCCAATTTCTACATCGTGGGGCGCGACCCTGCGGGCATGCCTCACCCCGAGACCAAGAAGGACCTCTACGAGCCCACGCAGGGAGGCAAGGTCCTCAGCATGGCGCCGGGCCTGACCTCGGTGGAAATCATCCCCTTCCGGGTGGCTGCTTACAATAAACTGAAAAGGGCCATGGATTTTTATGACCCAAAAAGGTAACGCGGGCAGCGGCGGCGCTGTTCCTTCAGCCTACACCAGCACGTGCGGTTTGCGATCGCGGCTGGCTCGCAGCTTGCTGGGGGAGAGGGAAAAGCAGTCGTCGTTCCTCTTAAGGAGAGGATCGGGGGAAGAACCTGTGAGAGGCTCCCGCTTTCCCCTCCGAGAGCTGGCACCCGGCCGAGGATGGGCCACGTGAGACTAAAGATGCGCCTTTGTAGCCCACCAGGGAGGATAGGAAACGCAATTTGGGGACCAAGTGGCAGTAGAAATACAGCCTCTCGCTGCTGGAGAAGTGTGTTACGAACGCCTCCAGCTCCTCCTGAGAGCAGCCCCATTGCTGCTGATCATAAACGGGGCGTGAAGCCGCAGGCGGGCGCTGCCGGCGCCGGGGGGTTCCCGCCCGCCCGCTTGGCGCGGCGGAAGAGCTGCGTGCGGATGACTCGGGCCGGTCGTGCTGAGTTCACCCCTGTCTCTTGGTTTGCCGCAGGCACGACGATTTTGACTTCATCTCCGGAACGCGCATGAGGAAGCTTGCTCGCGAAGGTGAAAACCCCCCAGACGGCTTCATGGCCCCCAAAGCTTGGAAAGTCCTGACCGAGTACTACCAGTCGCTGGAAAAGAAGAATTAACGCTACTCCTCCTCCCTAGAATACTTGTATTAAGAGTGAGCAATGATTGATTGATTCCCTGTGACACAGATCAGTTACTTGGCATTTCCCATGCTCCGACTGTGGGCTCTTCCCGCCTGGGTCAGAGCGTGTTTCACTAATCAGAAGTACCCTGAGCCTGGTCCTTCTCCCCTTGAAGCTGCCAGGCTCTCCCCGTGGAGCTGGAAGGGGAGGGCAGCAGGCCCTTCGTTCCCAGCTGAGCGCGGCGGCGGGGAGCCCAGCACGGCCCTGGACGGCCCATCCGGATCACTTTGGTGCCGCCAGAGCTGCGCACTGGCCCCCGGTACAGAGCTGGGACCTCGGCACCGGGATAAAAACGCCCCTGTCCCCTGCGCGGGGCGGAAATGAAGAAGTGCCTTCTGCTGCCCAGCGCCCAGCGCCGCCCCGAGCGGCAGGGGGCGGGCGT